TCCATGGGGGGTGGAACAGGGTTTTGGGGAGGATGATCAAACCCTACCTGCTGTTGCCATGCTGGCACAGTTTCGGCCCAGAACAGCCTGAGAAAATGTACTGATGTCATCACCACAGTCACGCCTCTCTATTTAAATGTCTCTATTAGCAGTGTATTTAAATGTGATGTATCCAATATGCATTTCATTAGATGTTGATGTTTTTGTGCTCGCAAATCTCTTTAAAAACTGTTTATTATTTTACTTTTACATTTTTAGTATTGTAGTATGAGAGCAGAGCAGCTTGAGGAATAGCTTGAAATGTAATGGAAAAATACATGTTTAGGATTTTAATTTATTACTTAAATAAAATTTAAGTTAATGGATAATATGGGTAATTTTTGTTATGTTCAGTCTTGTCAGTTGTGTCTGTATCATTAGCATTACTTGTGATTCAAATAGGCCGTATTTGGGGAATTTATTCTTTCATTGTGTGTATATCCTCTGAAATTATGTGCATTCTACCTCATTGCCATTTAGAGAGCAATTTCATCTGACCTTGGAGAAGAAACACGTTCTGTAAAGAGTGACTGGGTGACTGCTATTAGTTTTCCATCACCCTCCACACAGAAGTATTTAGCAGATGCTTTTTATCCAAAGCAACATAGAATACACAAATAGGAGGCTCAGTTCGCTGTTAACAGGCTGTAGTTAAGAGCGTTGCTCAAGGGCACAGTGGTGATGAGTAAAACTGTAATCAAAGTAGCTCTCCAGATACTGAGCTTCCCCTTCCTAACCGTAACTTTTGTGTTAGTAGGCGAGATTCCAAACCTACAATATTCTACTCAACTTTCACTATAAGTCATGAGCTTTCTGTTTTTTTTTAGAACAAATATATTATGGACTCATTCAGGTCTTGCTGAGAAAAGCCATGTTCATCAGTGCACCTGTGAATATTTTTATACACCTATTGTATAAAAACCCATCTTTTTGCTTCATCAAGTAATTCAGAAAGTTGACATTTGTTAGGGTCTGAAAATACTGTTTTTCTACAATTGTATCGGTTAGCTTATGTTTTGTCTCGGGCATCAGAATGCTGGAGGTGTTCCACAGATTACGTGCACTATCTTGCAAACTGTAGCAATGAGGGGGGCTAGCCTTCACCATAGCAACCGGAATTGGTTGCTTGGATACAGGTTTGAATAGAAAGTATGGTATGAATGCATCAGCAGTCGCCTCCAGTGGACATACAGGCACTTGAACTTGTCGGTGACTCCAGTGTCTCAGCTGATTCAAGTTGACCCAGCATGAGGTGGTGTGGTGCATTCCAGGTGTGGTGCATTCCAACAGAAACGGTCTTGAATGTGCATTGTTTAACAAGAATGTGAAGACTGGTTGGTTTAAGACACTTTCATACTGAGATTGCTTTGATTTTTCCTTCATATTCAGAGTCATAAACTCAGCAGGTAGGCCTACACACAGTATAGACCTTTTCTCCACAGTAGAAAAATTTCCACATTTCTCGGTTAGATTGATATGTAATCAGGTGAATCAATATTTCACCTAATAGTTGTGTTTATAATTGATTTAAGTGGGATTACAAATAGTGAAATCATTTCCAATTGGTTAAAAATTTTGCTTCCGATCAGTTTACCAATTCTAGATTCTGTATTGAAGCTTTGGCAACGTTGAGTTGTCCGAATTTGGCAAATAAGATCTGATGGAGTTTGCGTTTCAGAAATTCACCATCCATGTCTTGAATGTTGAATGCAAAGATGGCTAAGGTGCCACAAAGCAAAACAAAGCCCTAGACCCAAAGCCAGTGATATGCATCCAACCAGTCACAATTGATTTATATGTCCATGTTATAGAGGGCAAGTTTTAGAGCCGTGTAATCCTAAAGTCTTAAAAAGTGTTGGCAGCATTGACAGCAGAAACATGTGCTGTAATAGTCCAAGTTAACGTCAGGTCCTTGGGTCATGAGAAAGTTGTTGTGTTGAGGGATTGTGAAGGGTCATTCCAGTGCCATGATGATGGACGGGCAAACTTCCAATTAAATAATAATAATAAAAAAAAGATTAAAAAAAAAAAAACATGCAATACCCTGAGCCCTGAGGAATAGTGTTGCGATTTCTGAAATTTAACAAGGCTATTGCTTTTTCTTCTGTTTGCCGGAACACAATTCACCCCATATTAGGTCCATTTTAGCCAAAGTTTCGGAGAAGAAAAGTCATTTTACCAATCTCGTCGTTCCATAAAAAAGTCCTCTTCTGGTTCTTTTGTGCTTTCCTGCCTTCCTTTGCCTCGCTTTATTTTTTTCCTCTTTTTTTCCTTTTGTCTTCGCTGTCCTTTTTTCGGCGGAGTGGTTGGTAAGGTGTTGTGATGTTGGCGAAGGCGTCTTTTGGCACAGTCACAGGGCACTGTTAAAGGAGGCAGACTGGCACCTCCTGGACCCATGCCAGAGCTCCTCGGGAGAAATACCCACTGCTGTGGTTGGTGTGTGAGAGAGAGATAGATAGAACAGGGAGAGAGAGAGAAAGGCATTATGGGAAGGTGAAGGGAGGAGGTTGGAGAGTGGTAGAGAGAGAAAACACTAGGTTTGTGGTGCCAGAGCTTTTGTGGATGTTGGTTGTGTTGGCGTGTTCTTGGCCGGGTTCACTTTATTCCATTTTGTTTGTTACATTATTTTTTTTTCACTCTTCACTGGATGAGTGGCTGTGTGTTCATCTGCTGCCAAAAGGCACGAAAGAATGAAAGAAAAAAAATGCGTAGCTCCATATTTCCGCCGCTCTAATCTCTTGCGCATCCCTCTCTTTTATTCCTCTGCCAATTCCTGTCTTCATCACTCACTCCAAAATTCATTTATCCTCCATTTCTCACCTTTATTTGGAAAGTGTGTTTTTCTTTTCTTTTCTTTTCAGATCCTCCCTCGCAGAAATTAGAAATGGCATCATTGTGCGCTTGGCTGGCAGGTCAGTGCCAGGTGGTCTGTTCGAACATTGTGAGATTTGGCAAATGTGACTGCAAAGGGATGTGTGTGTGTGTGTATATTTAATGCACAAGTCTTCACCCCGACAAGAATAAAGGAAGCTTTGCTTGTCAAGGTGACAAAACAAGCTGCTCTTTTTATCTTGATTTGGTAGCATGGCTTTTGTCTGCCTGGTTGTCTTTGTCTCTCAGTTGTTTGCTTGTCATCTCATTTCTTTGTGTGTTAAGCAGCGTTCTTTGTTGTGGTCAATGTGCAAAACAGGTTAAAGTTTTGCAAAAGAACCCAAATGCACTTTGTGCTTTAATTCTGACCAGTGTACTCTTCATAGTGCTTGTGAATAATAAAATTCAGTGAGCCAACTAGTTGTCTGACGTCTGGCTAGTGATTTTGGTTTATGTAGGGGTTTTTATTATTTTAGTTATGATATTTTTAGTGGCAGTGCTTTAGTTAGCATGCTGCGTTTAGCTGTTAGCTGCATGGTAATACCCTCTCAGGAACTTACTTTCAAGTTCCTTTTAAAGCACTGCTGTAACAGACAGCATTACATTTTTGTCCATTGTGTCACGCCTTACTCTGCTTTTTTTTACCTAAGCATCTTGTCACAAGTGTTGCATTTTTAAGACACTGGCCTTGCTTTCACCTGGTATTAAGGTGTGATTTCAGTGATCCAATCACAAGTGGTCAGCCGAGGCTTAAACTGTTTTTAACCGTTTCAAATGCGCCTCCTGTAACCAGTGCTGTTTAGATTTCCTTGTGACACTTCCCTCTTATTTCTTCACACTCTACATCACAAATACTGTTGGCTGAACAAATTTATGTTACGGGATTACAAGTGATTGGGAAAGGAAGCAAATTAAATTGATTTAAAAAAGCAGTCTGTGTTTTGTTACAACGGAGCTGATTTGAAACAAATTTGATTCACTTGTTTTTTACAGAAAGTAGTGTGGTCTTTTTGGCTGTTCAGACACAATCGACCACATGAGTGTCTAAGCTATGAAAACCATCCAGTTAAATGCGTTTTCGTCTACCTCAAAACGTTTTAGATGCCTTCTATACTTGTATTTAGTGTAATCTTAATGAAAAATGTAAACAGGGCCTGTTTTAAAATTAAAAATATTCCAACTTTTAAAAATGCTAAATTTTGTTACATTCCATTGTGCTATATCTAGCTGTTTTTGAATGCAAAAATCTATGAATAAAGTATCTGATTGGGGTCATATGAATCCAAAACCAGCCTAATTGTTCTGGAACTCCATTTAGTCGACTAGTGATTTTTTTTTGTACATCCATGCAATCTATTTTTATGTATTCTGAACAAAATGAGAGATGCTTGCCCTTGCAAAATGCTAATGCTAGGTGGATTGCTAGGGTGTTCTGGGTGGTTGCTTACTAACCTAAATCAAAAGAGCCCTTCTCCAAGTTTCTATTGTATTTTATTTTCCAGATATGGCTCAGGTCCCTCCTTCGAGGTTAGTCCATTTATGTCCGTCAGGATAAAATCAGATGTCTAATTGCTTAGGAAAGTAATAGCATACCTCTCCTTAGCAAGGCACAAGATTTGAGGCATCATTCATGTCCAAAGCACAAGCAGTGCAGGATATGTTACGTGCCAAAGTTTAATACTTTGCTACGCTAGGCTAACTTTCATACCAAGCTTTTGCAATTGGTAATGGACAGATTTTCAGTATTAAGGTCATCATAATCGTATATTGTTTAAACTTAATGGAGATTATAGGGGGAATGAGGTGCATATTGCCCTAAATGCACTATTGTGTGTGTTTGTTTTTGGGGCCATGACACATTTCTTCATCCATATGCTAATATTAGTACACTGTGTAAACCACTATCCTTTGCTGCCTGGAGATTTAGGTGGTAAATCACTTCAGACTTCTTAGCTCTAATCCTCCCCACATCTGTGCTCCTTTTCTCTTCCTCTTTACTGCTCTAATTCCAGTATGGCATAGTTGGCCTCATCCATCCAACTCAGGAAACATTTTGTTTGTCCACCCTTTTTCTCCTTTGTGGCCTAATCCACTGCAGGTTGTTCCACAGGGCTTTCAGAGAGCTGATGTCTCCTTCCGATGCATTCGCATCACTCGTGGTTTGTGACCTTCTCTGGATGGTTTAGAGGTGTGTGTGTGTGTGTGTGTGTGTGTGTGTGTGTGTGTGTGTGTGTGTGTGTGTG